CTCAGTCGCTGCAGAGATTTATTTCTGTGTCCTGTGTGTGTTGCCAGGGGAGGGAGGGAGACAGGCATCTTGCTTAAAGTGGAGACAGGGAGACCTCTCCTCTCCTCGGACAAGAGCCTGAGCTACACCACAGTCACAGAGCTGACCTGGAACCTCGTCACGTAACAGAAAACCTCATGTCATAAGGAATGCCAGGAGCTGGGCGCGTCCAGAGAACCACCAGGCAGTCAGTTCTGTCGCTGCACCCAGCAGAGCTACCGCAGCTGCCCCCATGACTCTCGCTTCCTCTCTGACCACCTGGAGCCAGTCACCCAGTGGTTCTTCACAGGCACTGTCGGGCATTCCTCTCAGGCAGGAGTTGGGCAAGGTCTCGCCGCCTTAGGGTGTAGTCAGTCACGGGGAAGGCGGAGGTCCTGTGCAGCCACTCCCGCCCGAGTGCTCTCCAGTGGTCCCAGTGGTGTCAGTTGACGAGCAAATAGCTGAGGCTTGGAGGTGGTGGGAAGGGGAAGCCAGCAGGTACTTGGGTCTGGACCAGTAACTGTCAGAAGCCTGTGAGCTCCAAGCGGGCTAGGGGCCGGCTCCTTTCTCGGCACTGCAGCCATCCTGGGAAGCCAAGACGAGGGCATGCCTCTCGCCTGGAGACGGAAGGGAAGGCTCTCTGCCGCCGCCCAGCCAGCCTGCTCTTGCCCTACCTCGATTTCTTTATACTGCAGCGGCTGCTTCTCGTTTGACACTTTGTGAGAAGAACAAAATGGATCCCCTAGGTCAGAAGGACATGGCCTCACAGGGACAAGGCTTGGTTGGCATGGGCAGCTCAGCGCCAGCACCCTGGGCTGAGCGCCTTGGAGGGCAGCAGCCCTGCTGGGACCTTCATCTCGTTGCCTCCTGCCGACTGAGATGCCCTTTTCTCAAACACGCCATGCTGTGGGCTCGGCCAGGCATGGTCAACTCTACAAGGTTTGGGAACGCTATCCTACCTATTTTACTTTAAACAGCAGACTCCTCCCTGCTTGATGGAACGGCGGAAGTGGCTTTTCCATTCTCTGAAATTCCTTCTCTGAGGACTCAGTGCTTCCCTAGGAACTGAATCAAGGGAGGGAACAGGTTGTCTGGGAAAACGAGATTTGTGCCTGCACCCTGGGCCCGGAGGCAAAGCAGCTGGAGCCAAGGGCCAGGCCTCTGGCTGCTCCCTGTTAACTCCCCATCCCACCCCTGCCCCACCCAGGAACACAGGCCACTCCAGCCAGGCCAGACCCCTGGGGATGCAGCCTCCTCACCACGGGCGGC